CCCCCCCCCCCCCCCCCACTCCTCTCTCATCCCTCATCCCTCTGTCTACCACGACACGCTTGCAACAATAGCCGTACCCGCATCCAAATAGCTCAAAGTAGGTATGACTTGTACACGCTAGGGCTTAAGTTAGGCGTTTTCATATACTGGAATCCAGGGAACCCAAGCAAACCTTATATCATTTGCCTGCTTCACGCTGGAATCGTGGGACTTTCATTTACAAAAGCCGCCTGCAACCCCACTCCCCGTCCCCTGTCTGTTCTGAGCACAGGCCATGCGTAGCTATACTCTCCATCAAACCCTGCTTCATGCCATCCCCCAATACGTTAACCCTCTTTCCTCTTACATTCTCCCTACTACAGGTGAGTAGTATGTTATTTGGGGATTCTACGGTACCCAATATATGATAAGATTATACCCTCCTTTTTGGTAAAGCAGTATATACAGACTATAATCTTACCAGGTTCAACCACCATAAAAATCGCTACTCCAGGTGTCTTTGTTCCAAGGAGGTCTGCCCTTCCAATCGTGGAGGCTTGGAGGGCCTGCACTGCGGGGCAGGATTATAGTTCACAAGGTTTAGGGGTTGCACGTGCTTGAGGGCTGTTGCAGGTTGCTACTGGGTCCATCTGCACTGGGTTTCCAGATGTCTGAGGGCTTTGAGATTTTTGGAAACGAACAGAGTTGTTGTTTTTTGATGGTTCTTGGGTCTCTGCCCTACTGTCACAGGAAGATGATAGGAAACCTATAGCACAACTCTTTTGACCCGCCCCTCAAATGACCACCAACGGGTGCTTGTGATTTCAGATGGCACGGTGCTGGCTTCCCATAACAAGAGTTAGCGCCAAGTGAGGTTGATTACGCTTGTGGAGGTTTTCTTTGTGTTGTCTTTTATGTAATCGTTTTGTCTTGCCTCTTACCTCTTCACTGTTGTTTCTTGCCCAAGCCAAGCAAATCCCCATGGGCTCTCAGCGAAGTGGCGGTATCCTGAAAGATGAAGGAACACAGACGAACAAAAGGAGAGTCCACTTCTCCTTGTGTTAAGGAATACTTGCTGAAAGGAGAGGTCTTGCGCCACACAGAGCCTCTGAATTGCTGTAGGAATGAAGGTTCTTGAGGCGGTGCAGAGTTTCTTCCATCAACAGCATCGCCTCTTACCTAGGCCCTCCCAACCCTGACGGTATTTAGCACCCCTGAACTCTCAATCCCAAAGCCTGAAGCTAAAAACTCTCCCGCCCTTAACTCCCTTGAACCCTGACTCTAGACCATATAGAGCCTTCGAACCTCAAGAGCACCTAAAGTCCAAACCCTAGATCAACCCTAAACCCTCAGCCCTGAACCCTACACCCTAACCCTTAACCCTTCAACTGGTAGGCCGCGGCAGCAGTGAGCTCCGGGGCTTTCCGGGTGCTGGATTGTGGCACAGGACCGCCGATACGGAGCGAGACCTTGCTCATGATGAAGATTAAAAATGGTGTATGACGTTAGTTCGACGGTAGCACCACAATTCCGAAGGTAAGAGGTACCGAGGGAAGCACAGGGAAGAATGGACGGCTGCTTTAGGGTTTAGGTCTAGTCTAGGGATTGGAGAAGAAATGGAAGCTAGTACGACACTAAGGTGTTTTGTAGAGGCTAACTATGATGGGGATCCATTTCGCCATTCCCAAGCAACGACTAAGCTTGGCGATGCCATTGCAGACCCCAAGGTACTGACTTTGTCTGGTGTGTGTGTGTCTCTATATGAGCCGCCGCATTTATCTATGTAAGACAAGGGAAGACTAGCCGCGTCGGTATTTTTGTTGTAAAGCAAGCGTTCTAAGGGGAACTAGATAGGGACCACGGATCGAACGAAATAGGTCGAATTCCCATTATGAGTCAGAGCTATGCTTATGTTCCAC